AATGTATTGCCCCAGCTCACTGGCACAGTATCTATCATGGGAACATGCAAGATCTGGTGGCCAGAACAGTGCTGCTGCACCGATGTGATTATGTGGACACGGGTCACACATGCCCTGGGGTGGCCCTGTTCACAGCACTGACACAGTCTAAAGGTACACTGTCTATTATTCATTTATTTTCTGGGTGCTGACACTTCATGAGTAGAACATAAACACTGTAAAGAGGGTGACCAGTTAGAACAAATGCAGTCAGCAGAATGCATTTCAGTTCATAGTACACAAATGGAGCACAATTTTTCATGTCTCTGGTTATACACAAGTAGAGTCACACCATTCGTGTCTTCATACATGTACTTAGGGTAGTGATGTCCATCTCATTCCACCGTCTTTCCTGTTCCCCTGCTCCCTCCCTTTCCCCTTCTCCCCTTTGCCCCATCCAAAGTTCCTCCATGCTCCCCCACAACCCCCATTATGGATCAGCATCCACTTATCAGAGAAAACATTCAGCCTTTGGTTTGGGGGGGATTGGCTTACTTCATTTAGCATGATATTCTCCAACTCCATCCATTAACCTGCAAATGCCATGATTTTAAGTAACCAGAGGATGTAGATAAAAGATGAAATTTTTATTATTTACTCTTCACAATGGTCAAGATACAGAATCAACAATGAATGAACATGTCTCCTCTACACTAGAGATTTATAATCCTATCTTCCAATTGTAATCACCTGGGGAGCTCCTAAACCTGAAATTCCCCAGACCAATTAAATCAGAATGTCTGGAGATGCATCTCAGGAATGAGTATGTTTAAAGTTTTACTGTAGTTTCAGTATTAAGTCATAGTTAAAGATAAGCTGACCAACTAACTGTTCAGGTTTCCTCAGGAGTAAAACTTCTCCAACAGCACAGTGCTAAAATTGCAACTGTCCTAGGTAAACCAGGAGGTTATTCACTCTGCACTGATCCACACTTTCATGCAGAACCATTCTTGAGTGATGTGTTTTCCATTTTTAAAAAGTCAAGACTCTTTGGCTTCATGCTTTCATTCAACACTTTTCTGATTACACTTAATCACTGCTTCCTGCTGCGTTCTTGCTCAGGTTTGTGTTATTATCGACGTGGGTAGCATGCAAATTTGTAACATGTGAATGAAAAGGGGGATGAATAAACCGTTAAAGCAAGTCAGCAATGACCAAGAGAACAGCTGAAGAAGCAAAGGGTCCTCACATGTGCAAAAAAACAAGCAAAGGGTCTTTCTCCTACACTATTGTGGGATTGCATATGAGCACAGCCACAATGGTAAATGAGATGGAGTCTCCAAAAAATCTTGGAAATAGAACCACCATACGATGCAGTAATGCTGAATCCAAAGGAAATGAAATCACTAAGTATAAAAAGAAAATAAAACCAAAATGTCAAAGAAACTTCTGCTCTCACATTTACTGCAGTACTCTTCACAATGGTCAAGATACAGAATCAACAAATGAACAGATAAACAAAATGTGGTCCATATGTATGAGTAGTATTCAGCCATAAAAATAAGGAAATCCTGTCATTTGCAGCAACATGGATGGAACTGAAGACATTACACTAAGTGAGATAAGGCAGGAATTGGAAGACAGACAGTATGTGTTTCCACTTCTGTGTGGAAGTTAAAAAGTTGATCTCATAGAAGTAGAGAGTACAAGAATGGTTGCCAGAACCTGGAAAGGACATGGCAGGGAGGTTGGGATGAGGGAATGGATACAGTGGTGCAGCTGCAGAAGAAGGTACTTTCTAATGTTCTGCAGCACCATAGCTTATGTACAGTTGATAGTTAACAGCATATTTCAAAATAGCTCTTTGAGTCACCCAGCACACAGGCCTACAATTCCAGTGGCTCAAGAGGCTGGGGCAGGAAGACCACAGGTTCAAAGCCAGCCTCAGTAAAAGCAAGGCGCTAAGCAACTCAGTGAGATCCTGTCTCTAAATAAAATATAAAGAAGGGCTGGGGATATGGCTCAGTGGTAGAGTGCTCCTGAGTTCAATCCCTGCTACCCCCCACAAAAAAAAGTCAATGCCAAAATAGCTAGTCAAGAGGAATTTTTTGTGAGGGGTACTGGAGATTGAATTCAGGGGTACTCAGCCACTGAGGCACATCCCCAATCATATTTTGTATTTTATTTAGAGACAGGGTCTCTCTGAGTTGCTTAGCACTTTGTCATTGCTAAGGCTGGCTTTGAACTCACAATTCTCCTGTCTCAGCCTCCCAAGCTTCTGGGACTATAGGCATGTGCCACTGTGCCCAGCCAAGAGGATTTTGAATGGTCTCAATTTAAAAAATTATATATATATAGGAACTATATGCATATATATATATATATATATATGTCAAAGACAATGAATACACCAGTTACCCTGATCTAATCATTATACCTACATGTATCTAAATGTCTCACTATGTCCCCATTAATATGTACCATTACTATGTGTCAATTCAAATATATTTATATTTTTAAAAGGAAAACAATAAGCAAAAGAAGATGTAAAGTGCCATCCTTCCAAATGCAATCCCAATGAGCCTTCACTTTTACTTTCCCTCTAAATTGATGACACTACATTTTGACACATTTCTATTTATCACTATTTATACCTGTTACCCTGGTATGAATTTTTAGTCACTGTTGTTATCAAGAAGAAAGCTAATTTTCTTAATGGAAAATTCCCTGTGCAAACAAAAATTATCATTCATCATTCCAAACACTCCTCAATCTACTCCAAGATTGTGGTTTATATGAAACCCATCGACGTGTGGACACCAGGATCAGAAATGTTCTTCCACCTATGAAGGGAACATGACCCTACAGCTCTCCAGGACCATCTTATTCAAAGTATGGTTCCAGATCAGCAGCAGCAGCATCTGGGACCCTGCTAGAAACGCAGAAACTCAGGCTTCAACCCAAAGCTACTGAGTCAGAATATCAGCAGGTGGAACACAAGAATTTGTGTCCTAAAACAATCTCCAGGTTATTCTGATGCACACTACAATTTGAGAAGAGCTATCTAGCAAACACCCTGTTTTCTAATTGTCCCCAGAGGGAAGAGGTGAGGATAATCAGGGAAAGTGGTCTAGGTTCCCAGCCTCTGCTGCACATAGGAAACACTTGGAGAGCTTTAGCAATAATCCCAAGAAATGCTATTTAATTGGTCTGAGGTGCTCCCCAGGTGAGTCCATGGGTGGCAAAGTTTGGGAATTACTGGTACATATGACTTCATCAGCAAAAGCCCTGCCCCTGCCTTGCTGCTTCTTGTCTCCGCTGCTGATCACCCATAGGAATGGGCATTATATGCAATGACTGTCCCTCCCTCCTTCAGCAACATCAGAAGCAGCAGTGGAGAGCCCACTGGATGTGAGGCTCACCTCTGCACCTGAGCACTTGTTGTTTTCACCCACTGTTAGTAGCTGTCTGATCTTTGACATTTTACTCCAACCCCTCTGGACCTTAGTATCTTCCTCTATCCAAAACAGACTGTAAGACCCAATTCTCAGGATTATTTAGGACACTAAATTTGATACATGAAAATGCCCCATACTTTTGCTTTTGAAGACATAAGAGTCTTCAAAATATCTGAGCCAGGAAAGATTGTTTTCTCTTTTTCCTCCTTCCCCACTTTGAGATATTCAACAGCATGAATTTGGGCAAAAATCAAGGGATATGTTTTCCTGAGCGCACCAAGGGTGTCGAATTGTGAAAAATCTGTTCTCATGTGAATYCACATATATGATATTCAGTCTCACAGAGCCTCAGCCAGGTAAAACAGGATATTTGTATGGTTCCCATTTCACAGATGACCAACAGTGGTGTAGAGAAGTCCATGGTTATGCACACAGTCACACAATGGCAGACTCAAGAAACCCCATGTTCCCTCTGCCTACCACGCTGCCTCCACTCTCAGCCTCACATCACCAGCTTGCAGTCTGCATTCATGGGCAGCTTGCACTGACCAGCTCTGTCCCAATGGGATCTTCTGTAAAGATAACAATGTCCTTTCCGTCATCTCCAATCCACCAGCCACTAGCCACATGTGGCTCTCGAGCACCGAAATATAGCTAAAATAGATGAAGAACAGAAATTTTAATTTTATTCAATCTTAATTAATTTATATTTAAATGGCTGCATGTGAACAGCACGGATCCAGATACTGAGTCTGGGGTATAATGAGAAACTGGAAAATCTTTCCAATGGTTTCTCCCCACAACCTAAAGTACACCTAAGCTGCTGTGTGTGTTTCTCTTAAGAGAGCTCAGCTCTCTCTCACCAGAGTACCAACACTGGCCCACTAGCTGACAAGGACCCACCCCATGCTAAAGACAATTCCAACCATTCTTGAAATCAGATTAACCACAGGAGCAAAATGTGTTCTAGAAAAGCGCTTCTTAAACAACAGCATGAGCAGGAATCATCTTAAAATGGTTAAAATGCAGATTCTGCCAGGCATAGAGGCTGGGGCAGGAGGATGGTGAGTTGGAGACCAGCTTGTCTAATATAGCTAGACCCCATCTCAAAAAACAACAAGAATTCAGCGGGTCTGGAGAGGGCCTGAGGTTTGCATTTCTAGCAGTGATGCTGCTGTCCCGGGGACCCTCTGAGCTGCCAGGCTGTAGTGCAGGGGTTCTCAGTAGGCTGCTTTTGTTTGCCTCCATACTTTGGGGCCACTTGGCAATCTTGTTTGTCATTACTGGGAAAATGGGGAGAGGGGTGAAAAGTGCTAACTAGAACCCAGGAGATTGAGTTCAGGAATGCTAATCAATAATTTGCAATATCTAGGACAGCTCCATGACAAAGAATTATCCTCCCCCAAATTCAATGGTGCCAAGTTCGAGAAACCCTGCTGCATATCTGAGCCTGCTCTTCAGGAGGAGGGGGTCGGTGGCAGAGCGAAAGAGTGCGTCTTCTCTTTACAATACTGATCCGTGTTTTCTCTCTCCCATTCTTTTCTCCCATTTGTCTACACACAGGTGCCAATGCCTCGGCCCCAGACCAACTGAGTTTAGCTTTAGCCTGGAACAGAGTGGACATCGCTCGAAGCCAGATCTTTATTTATGGGCAACAGTGGCCGGTAGAGTATACATCGTCACCCCCCAAAAGCCCACTTGCCTGGGCAAGGGTATTTGTTTAAGGAGCTTTTGAGAGTGGCTCAGTAAACTACTGCCTTTTTTTTTTTAGGATGAGATCTTGCTTTGCGCAGGAGTACCTGGCCGGGGCGCCTCTTCTCATATTTGAGGAAATGCTGCCACCTGGTGGAAGTTATAACTAAGCACATCACCTAATAGTCATACATTTCCATCCCTGAGTGGCCTTTGAGAGCTGTAGATAATATCTTTTAGCGTGTGTTTAAAGAGACATATAACACAAAGTTGTATAAAGCTGGAATTAGTTTGTTTCTGATTGTCTGTGAGGCGGGCAAAAGGAAGAGGTTGCTGCTTCCAAGTGGAGGTGCCCCCTGTTGGTCTGCGGCTGGGTCATGCCTCAGGATGCAGAATTAGAAGCCTCCCGCATGCAGGTGCCATCTGGTCCTGGTGACTGAGCACAGGTCCTCCCTGCTCCCAAAGAACAACACAAAGAACCGAAGCTTTATATAACTGTTCTTGGTTTGTTTCCCTCAATTGACTCTACCAAAAATAAAAATTTGCGAAATTGCCCATTGGGTGGTATACACATGCATCCACAGGAGGTAACCCAACAGCCCAAAATTTCATTTCTGTGCCTGGAATCCTACCACTCATGGGCAGGTTTCTCTTAACCCTTCCTTTTCCTCAACAGCCTTTGGCTGAGCTTAGCAGTTGTCTTCATGTAAAGCTAGTGAATTGCTAGCATGGAAATACTTGTCAAGGAATCTGGACACTGGGAAATTTTTATGAAAGGAATTAAATAAAAATCTTGGCTAGGAGTTGAAGCTAAGTGGTAAAGTGCTTGCTTAGCATTCATAAGGCCCTAGGTTTGATTCCCAGCACCAAAAAAAAAGAAAAAAATAAAAAAAGAAATCCTAGAATCCTAGCCAGTGGCAAACCAAATATTAGGTTGCTCTTTTTTTTTTTTTTTTTTTAGTTGGGTGACACCAGCTTGCCTCTGTCTTACCCATTTCTACACCTCCTGTATCTATTTAGGCCCTTTGGTCTGTATCCTTGGGCTCATCTTCTCAAGTCAGCGTGGAGTCTAATTCAGAGCCCAGGGAAGGTTAAAAAAAAAAAAAAAAAAAAGACAGTAAAATACTTACTTTGGCTCTTCTCGGGCATTGCAGAAATTTGGTCAGAAAATGGCAAGGGGAAAAAGCCCCATAAACTCTTGCACCTTCTCAGGATTCAGGAAAAAAATGGTTCAGGGAAGAAATAGCTTTTGGACCTTAAAATCCTTGACTTCTATTTCCAAAGGCAGGCCCCCCGAACACAAAGGTTGTCCCAAAGGTGGAACTGGGAACAGTCTCTCTAGCATGTTCTTGGATGTCCTGAAGATTTACCAGATGTCAAGCCATCCATTTTTAAGCTTTTCAGGCAAATGCCAAGGAACCGCATCCATAGACCCCGGGGCAGACTAACTCAGTGACTTGATTTGCAGGTGGGGTCTCTGGAACAAGCCATGTTGGATGCCTTAGTTTTGGACAGAGTGGATTTTGTGAAATTACTCATAGAGAATGGAGTAAGCATGCACCGTTTTCTCACCATCTCCAGACTAGAGGAATTGTACAATACGGTAGGGCCAAGCTAAGGCACTTGTTATTTTCTTTGTTTTTTTTTTGCTTACCTTCTCCTGCCCCCAACATGCCTGTGATTCTCTTCCTCCCCTAAATGCATGCATCATTCTTCACAATACTCCCTTAGACCTTTGTAGACAACAAACACCAAGTCACCAAGACTCCACTTGTTTTAACTGCTCAGTTGTCAGCATCCAAGGCAGAAGGTTAGGTCATCATTTGAAGGGACCGTTCTCATGTTTTTAGACAAAACAAGGCTGTGGAAATTGGAACACAGTTTATTCTGAAATCCAGAGGGCATTTGTGACAATTGGCAGAAGAGGAATGATTTAGCTCTAAGCATCAAAGGAGGCCACTTAAGTACCTGTGTCATTTTGTAAACTTCAGAGCTATGAAGTTCTTTCTTTTCCCACAACAGTGGTATTAGATGTAAAATACCTTTTGTTAGGAGTTACCTCAAAAGAAGTTTTTTTTTTTTTTGCTTTTTTTTTTGTTATTGTTTTGGTTTGGTTTGGTTTTAGAGTCAATTTCACTGTTTTATAGATAAGGAAATTGAGACTGTCTTAGTCTATTTGTGCTGCTATAACAGAATACCCAAGATCAGGTAATTTATTAAAAAAACAGACATTTACTTCTCACCATTCTGGAGGCTGAAATTCTGAAATCAAGGGTCTAGCAGGTTCTGTGTCCACATGAATGGACAAGGATTGAAGCAGTACACAGGAATTGCTTCAGTACTTAAATGTGTTACAACACATTTGCTTAAGGATTTAACATTACAATTTTAGATCCTACAAGAAAATTGCCACATTTAGCACATCAAAATACAGAACACCTAGTTAAATTTAAATTTCTGATAAACAATAAAGAGTGTTTTCAGTGTAAGTAGAGTTGTCCCTCTGTTTCTGCCTGGAATTGGTTCCAGGAGTCCCCACACATCCTCCAATAGACTTTAAATTATTTTCTAGATCTCTTGTAGTACCTAATACAATACTAATTCTGTGTAAGTAGTTATTTTACTGTATTGGTTAGTGAAGAATGGCAAGAAAAAGGTATTTTTATGTTCAACACATAGTTTTTTTCCAAATATTTTTATTTTATAATTGGTGGAATCCATGAATGTAAAACTCACAGATATGAAGGACCACCTATATATCCCAAATATTTCATGGGACATACTTATGTTAAAAACTGTTCAGCATTTATCTGAAATTCAAACTTAATTAGGCATCCTCTATTTTATCTAGCATTCCTGTTTCTGAGACAAGAGAATAGAAACTCACTTCACTTTATTCTTACCTCAAATACAAATACATCTTTTCACCAACTCTCTCTTTTCCCCAGCCTGTGGCTTTTCCTTTAAGTCAGATATCAGCAAACTATCACCAAAGTTCAGATCCAGCCCACAGCCTTTTTCTGCACACCCTGTAAGCTAATAATGAATATATACAATATATACATATATGTTGTAGTTGGACACAAAACCTTTGTTTTATATGTGGTGCTGAGGATCGAACCCAGGGTCTCTCTCTACTGCTGAGCCACAACCCTAGCCCCTAATAATGACTTTTATACATTTTTTTACATGGTTGAAGCAGTCAGAAGAAGGATATTCTATAACATATTTAAACTATAGGGAATTTTATTTCTGTGTCCATGAATAAAGTTTTATTGAAACACAGCTAAACTTGCTTGTTTATATAAAAACAACAGAAGGGCTGAGGATGAAGCTTAGTGGTAGAGCCCTTACTTAGCATGTACAAGGCCTTGGGTTCCATCCCCAGTACTACCAAAAAAAAAAAAAAAAAAAAACCAAGAAGAAGAAGAAAATAAACAACAACAACAAAGTCTATAGCTGCTTTCACAGTACAATAATAGTTAAACTGATTTGATAAAGACTGTCTAGTCCACAAAGCGTCAAATATGTTCTACCTGGCATTTCACAGAAAATATTTGCCAACCCCTTTTTGAGATAATTTTCTAATTCATTATAAAAAATAAAGAAGTCTCAATGACAATGTGCCCAGGTATTTTTCCAACTGGTAAATTGGCCCTTATGTTTTTCCCTGCTGCAAAACTAACTCCTTCGATGACGTCTGGGCCCAGCTGTCTACAGAATTGACAACGTGCCTTAGAAACTTTGAACCTAGGATCTCCAACACCTTTTCTTGCGACAATCCAATCCCAAATTCTGCTTGTGTTTCTTTAGAAAAGACAAACAAAACTGAGCAACTAAAACAAGGTCCATCGTAACAAACTGCCCTCCACCCGTCAGAACCCTTCCTTCCAGAACCTTCTTGCCTTGCCAGTTAGAGCCCCTGACTAGCAAAACTGTTTGATTCTTCTTTATTGTTTTCAGAGACATGGGCCCTCAAACACATTGTACCACTTGGTCAGGGATGTCAAAAAGGTAAGAATCCTCTCGACCCCAGGTCGGAGGCCCTGTCTTGACCGCTTCCTGTGATTAGAAAGCGACCGTTTTGCATGAGCTGCCAGAGTGTTCCTGTGCCTGCCTGACTCCCATCCAGAACGGTGTGCGCGTGCGTCTGTCTAACTGACACCTCTGCTGATGATGCAGCTGTGGTTTAACCTCCAGTCGCCATGGTTTTAGATGCTTTACCTTGGACATAACGCTTCTGAATAGTGGAACTCTAGGCTTTCCCTGTGCCAGGTGGATTTATGCCGTTCCCTGTACTTTTCCATATACCCCCTCACTACCTGGGGAGCGAACTGACCACAGGAGTGTCTCCATTTACTAGCTCCTGATACAGTGCCACGTCCAGCATACCAACAAGAACAGCTCCAAAAAACAGGCACCAAAACAAATATATATGTGGCATTCTTCTATCACTTAATGGTTTTCAGAACATGTTGTCACACCAATCATCTCATTTGATGGGGGATGAGGGGGTGAAGCTAGTGTAAGCCAGGCCAGGTGGCACACACCTGTAATTCCAGTAACCTGGGAGGCTGATGCATGAGGGCTCACTAGTTCAAGGCCAGCCTCAGCAACTTAGAAAGATTTTTGTCAAGTCTCAAAATAAATAAATAGRGTTGGGAATGTAAGCTGAGTGGGTAAAACACCCCTGGATCCAATCCCCAGTATCACAAGAAAAAATCTGGCAGATATAGGTCATGTAGAATTATTCACATATTACAGATGAGGAAACAAGGAGATGATAACTGCATTGGGTGGTCATGTCTGTACTAGGATTAGAGCCCCAATCTTTAATTGATAATGAAATAATAAGAGCTATGATGGAGTGATGATTAGGCCCAGTGTTTTTGTAAGCTTCCCATGCATCTTAACACATTTAATCTGCACAACAGTTTTATGAAGTAGAATTATTATTATTTTCTTATTACCAGGCAGTATCTCCATTTTAAGATGAAAATAAGTCATAGGAAGGTTATGCTGAATCCTAGCAAAGGTCTCATTCCTTTGCCCTACAGAATTGCCTTCAGGGTCAGCTTGGGTTCTGAACCCTTAACTCCAAAGGACAATAAAGATGATGGCACCTTACCCATCTCATATACACACACATGTACACATGCATACGTATGCCCACTATCATTCCTTTGTAGCAATTCTTCACCAAAGTCCACAGAACATACTTAGAGAAAGCTACAAAATGAAGTTTGAAAATGGAGTACAGTTTTTTTCATATTATAGGAAGTCATTGGCGAGAACTGACCTATAGGTGCTCTGAAGCAACTTTTAAATTGTTTTTTCAAAAGGTCAAGCAAAGTCCCTGGGGCTGTTTAAAACCCATCTATTTGAACCCACTAGATCTTTGATAGTAATAAGTGAAGGATATAAAAACAAAAACCTCCTTTTTATTTTTATTTTTTATTTTTTTTTGGCCCTTGTAAACTTTTCTCCCATCTCCAGGGTACCTTAATGAAGGATTTGCATATGTGTCAGTGAGCAAACCTGTAGCTCTTTCAAAACAAGCGAAGCAGATGCAAACCCATCTCTCTTTCCTTCAACACTTACGGTTTCATTTAATGGATCCAGGCTGAAAACCGCCTGGAAGCTAAACTCAGAAGTGTCCTCATTCAATTTATTCTCCCAAGCTCTTTGATGCTCACGTTCAATAAAATGTTTTGAGGTTTTCTAAAATAACATACAAAGCATAATCCCTTCACCTCAGACTAGTCGGTGGGGTTTTCTGAAGAGGCGGCCATGCCTCTGTCCCTGGGTCCCAGGTATTGGTCAACCCAGCCTTCAAACAAGTTGCTAATCCACTTCCACCACCACCCTCCCAGCAGCAAATATCTTGCCTGATTTTTCAATGGGATTTGTGCAGTTACATCTCACTGACTACAGATGATAAAAATCCCTGTTATTAGCTTCTCTTCTCCATAGGACTCTGCTCTGCAAGATCATTTTCTCTTTTCTGAAATCCCTCGAGCTGCCTCTTGTATTTGCTCACATCGCCTATATTATTAGAAGCCTATAAAATATCTTTGGGTTTTTCTTTTCTTTTTATTTCTTTTTGTTTGTTTTGTTTAGCTTCTTGGCTAAAAATATGCATCAAAAATAATATATATACTAACAAGAAAGAACACAATGGAGCCCAGCGTGGTGGCGCCCACCCATTATCCCAAGGGCTGGGTAAGCTAGGGCAGGAGGATCCTGAGTTCACAGCCAGCCTCAGCAACTTAGCCAGACCCTGTCTGTAAATAAAATATTAATAGAGCTGTTGATGTGACTCAGTGGTTAAGCGCTCCTGGGTTCAACCCCTGGTACCGAAAAAGAAAAGAAAGAACTGAATGATAAGAATTTAGAAGGAAGGAGTTTTAGCTAAGAGTTTTTTTTTTTTTAAGTGTGAGCCAAGTATTGGCACAAGAAGATAGTTACATAAGCATGTCCTTTACTTACTAATTTAGTAACTGGAAAGAAATGGCTTTAAAAAAGAAAAAACATCCAGAAGGGGACTGAACAACTAAGAATAATGTATCCTTCCACCAGGGAAAAGGACTGCTGATGGGGGGTTGAGGGGAACAGGGCAGAGTAAGTCCTTGTTTAGTTTCTTCCCTTGGAAGGAGTCGGGGCAGGAAACGCAGCCTCAAGTGATTTCTGTGGTCAAGGTGAGTGTCTGACTCTGGAGGAGCCAGAAGAAATAGTCACAGTAGTGGAAGGAGCCAGAAGCACCTGCGGTTGATGTTGCATGAATGAAGGGAGCTGCACTGCGGCTTTCTGTTTTGTGTTTTCAAAACAAGTGACAAGAGAAAATTCACATTGGTGCACAACCTTCTCACACGGTTCCAGACTATTTCCAGCAATGTAGGCCGAAAAGATACTGAGAGCTACAAAAACAGGGCTTAAAATGCTAAGGAAGTCTTGGGAAGTTTACTCAATTTTCAAAATTGGAGAATATGATAATAAGCAGCTTGTTCACTCTTTACAATAGCAGGGGAAATATATATATAGACATGTTTCATCTATGACAAAATGAACCAGGAATTTATAAACTCCAGTACAAAATGCTGCTCATGAGTTAGAAAACACAGCTCTGGACTTTAAACAAAGCATTTGATAATGTGTCTTTAAGTTTAATGTAAATAATGACTATAAACCCAGGAAGTGCATTTAGGAATGATGAGACCATCGAAAGTCACCCAATGTGACATCTCCAAATCCAACTTGTCTTTGTATTCTTTGAGACAAAAAAAAAAAAAAAATTAGATGTGCAGAATTGCTCCCAAACTGTTTTCAAGATCTCAAATTATTTATATCAAGGGAGCAATCTAGAACAATGAGAAAAGGAGTTGCTGTTCCGCATCAGAAATTTTAATTGATATAAGTCAATCCAGTTTACTCAACTGTATTCATGCATAAATCCATTAATGTACCAGTGCTCTCCTTTGAAACCAGAGTGGCCTAAGTGTGTCTGCTTTTCTGTGAAATATAACCTGCTATTTTAGTAAATGTCTGCTTAATTTGTGCCTCTGTATGTTTTCAAATAGTAGTTTTTCTTTCTTAAACTAAATGTGCTAATATTTCAGGTTACCTAAACTCTCCCTCCCCACCAAAGGAGGGTGACATTTGACTACTATACAGAAGTAGTGGTGAAATTGTGATAAGTTCATTTACATGGGAAGTAAGACCCAGAACTTAGCAGAATGCAAAGGTGTTTCTGACACTTGGGGTGAGGAAAGGACATTTTCATAAACCTGCCTTATATTCAGGCATATTTGCTAAAGTATTCCTATTTTTTAAGAGATTGACTGTTAAGTCTATTACCTTGTTAATCTACCAAACAGTGGAATAATGTCCTCTCTTTCCCAGAGCTCAAATCAAATTACCTGGTAATAACTCAAAGGAATTCAATGTATTTTTCCTTATTATAAAAACTATCCCAGAACAGTCTTCCTCACTCACCATTGGCAAAGCGAAAAACTAGCAATCATCTTATACTTTTCACACAACAGAAGGAAACAATCTCGTTTGGAAGGGTTGYTGTGAGTTTCAAAGAAAAATGAATGTCCTTAAATAGCTAAAATCAAATAGCTGAAACCTGATAGCAATATCAAGAGGTGACCTCTGAAAAAAACAGTTCATTTTGAAAAGCAGGTCTAATAAGTGAACTCGAACTATTCTTTAACTAAGATATCGTTAAACATGGCATGGGTTAAAACTTGCCTTCAGACTAGTCGTCCACAGTCTGAAAAAAGAAGGCAACATCTTTAAGTTACCAGACTGTACCTTCCCACATGCCCAGACRCTCCAGCAAGCCACGTGACCTACCACGTGATGTTAAGGCAGGAAATGGAAAATCATTTTCCAGACTCTGCCAATGACCAGTCATGATCAAAAGGGTAGGGAGGTCTGGGGACAGGCTCTGTTGTGGAGCACTTGCCTAGCATGTGCAAGTACCTGGGTTCAATCCTCAGCTCCATGAAAAAAAAAAATTTTAAATAAGATATAATCAAAAGGGTGGGGGAGGGTAACAGAAACAGCAGGCAGAATTCGTATTATTGCAGTATGAAGGAAGCTAAGAAAATTCCAGTTTGAAAAGGCCCTGAGCAAAGGAAGACTCCTCCACAAGGTTTTGGGACATTATCTGTTGGCATGTGAGAGGTTGCTCACCTCCTCTGCTTTCTCCAAAGGAGATGGATATGATAAACACAGCCCATCCCTGTCTGAGCCTTTACCATTCCTGATTCTGAGCCCCCAGTTCCCACTAACTGAATTTCAGGGGACAACTGGAAGCTACATGAACCCTGAAAGCTCTGGACAGGTGTCTTTGCCCAATGGCCTGGCAGTATAGAAATAAGAGCAGCTGCCAGGTACTGATCCTAAAACTGCACTCTCAGACATAGGCATGGCCTTAGAAATAACTCTGTCCAAATCACCTATTTTCAGAGCATAAACTGAAGTACAGAGAAAGAAAGTAATGAGTCCATTGGCACAAGAGGACAGAGCCAAGACCACAGCCCAGCCTTGTACTGTTTGCACTTGGTAGCCATGTCTCTGGCCTCTGGCTGTCCTCTGCTAGAGGACCCAGAAAGTTCCCCACTTCCCAGCAGGGCCGTCCTAGGAGAAGCCATGCAAAAGCATCATGTGAGACATCTACAGGTGACAGGTGATCCAGGCCACCAGCCCAGCACCACATCATGCCATCCCCTTTAGAGTCCACCCAGGACACAGTAATCCCASGACATCTAAATTGTACCCAATTTTATTCATTTTGTCAAATTTGTTTCTTCTTCCCAAAAGGGTTTCCACTCTTCCAATAAGAAATAGAAAGCTGATTTCCCTCAACTTCTCTGTTTCCACCAGTCATCAGCCTTGCAGGCAGAGTTCAAACCCATGCCTTGCTAAAGGAACCTTTCCCTCCTCCGGATATCACTTCAACAAGAACATCTGACCCTGTCCTTCTCCTCTAATCCTGTGCATACTCTGGACTCCTTCATGTCACCTTACCACACAGAACAGAGCAGGCCATTCGTTAATTGTTGGCGAGCCTGGAGTCCTGGTAGGCTTCTGGTAGGTGAACATCGCCCCCTTGTGACCAAACAGAATGCAAGCCAGTTCCTGTCACCTTCACTCAGAGCCACACCCAAATAATCAGAGTCCTTTCTCCTGCTTCAGATCTGACTACACAGAAATCCTGCTACAATAATCAACCTTTCATGAGAATATCTTAGCACCTTCCTTGGCAGTATATGCCACTAAAAACTCTATTAATAAAAATCATTGCGTAAAAGTATTGTATTTGCCCTTAATTTTTTATTTACTTTGAATTTTACTACTATTACCACTTTATTGGCAATATCTAGTAGTAAAGACACTTAAAATGCATAAATATTGCCATGCAGTTATTGGTCTTCAGGCAATATTGGTGTCTCAGTCTTAGAATTCAAGTTCATGCTCACATGTAGGTTTCCCAAAACAAAACACCTAGGTGTCAGGCTCACTATTACCCAGCTTTTAAATTTAGAAAATTCTTATAACATGAAAAGTAGGAGATCTGGGAATGTAGYTCAATGGTAGAGCACATGACTTATATGTGCAAGGCCCTGGGTTTAATTTCCAGCACCACAATATAGAAAGAAAGAAAAGTAGGCACAAGTTCATAGACTTGCTCTGATTGCTTTTCAATAGCATCACAATAAATTCTTTGGGGGACTTTCCCAAAATCTGGAACATAAGCAAAGCAGCATGGTGTTTAGCCCCTGTTTCTGGGAAAAGACCCTGAGGGAAAGTTGCTGGTTCATGAGGGGGACAGAGAAGCCCAGGACAGCTGACTGAAAGCCAGTGTGCTTTATCCCACTCCTCCCAATGCCAAGGAAAATAACAGATGGTGGGCATCCTTGGAAGGTCATCTCATCAGAGCCAAATGTGCATGCGAATAGACTGACCCAGGCATGGCCTGGCTCCTGGAATCTTCTACTCTTTAAATAACAGCCTTGCCTCATATCCAGTAGAGCTGGAGGCTACAGAAACTGTGGCCTCATTATATTTTAAAACTCAAATTTTTATGGAAAGGGCAATACATAAAAAGTCACTATCTTAAAAACTTTCTGTGTTCCCTTTTGAATAGTTTTTGCCATACTTTGCATAACAAAGTCACACAATTGGGTTTTGTTAGTAGCCTGAGGACAGCCTAACTAGTTAGATTGATTAAATCATCTTCAAAGGGGAACGAATTTCTGAGGAGTGTGGGGAGGACCACAGAGATCATTTTTGTGAAGGAACCATTCAAATAATGCCATGGGTCTCACACTGGACCTCCCTGGGCCAAGGTGCTTCCACTTTATACACAGTGCCCTTCACAATCCTGCCTGTGTGTCTTGCATTAGATCCTCAAACCCAGGAAGAGGAAGAACCCAGTGGATGGAGGTGGGAGCTATATCTAGGGACAGCAAGGAAGTCTAAAGAGCCCCAGTGAGATCACACACCTGAGGCTGGTGCTCCCAGGGCTTTCCCTTCATTCCTACCACACTGAGAACTGCTATTGAATTTATGTATAGGGATACACATGTATTTCAAATCAAATGTCCCTACGAAAGAGGGCTATCCCAAGCGGCAGAGACTAACAGACTGCGACCATATAGTGTATGACACTATCATACGAAAAGCCCAAACCCAACCTTGATCCCACCCACATCAATTAATTTCACTATTTTATTAATTTATAAAAAAAAAAAAACTTCTAAGTGCCTACCATACCACAAAGACTTAAAAAAGCACTGAAAATATGTAGATTAAAAGAAATTCAGGAGGAAGATTAAAAGAAATTCAGAAGGGGGCACTGGGAATATAAAGATTTTAAACATTTAAGAAATATCTAAAGCTCAAGCTTTTAAGAGTAGGTCCAGTGGGTCACCTCTAACTCTGAATCCCAAAACCTTGGAAGGGATGTGGTTGGCCAAAGGAAAGCTGAGCAAGGGTAACTGAAACCTATATTCAGCTCAGCAAAAAAAAAATTAGGTGAATTTCCCACTGACAGTGTTCCCCATGTTGTACTTGAATGTCCCTGTTCTGCTGTGCATGCTTCTATTGCCTCCCTGAAACTCATTTAGTAGAGAAGTGGCTTCACAAGCTTTGGTGTGCATCAGAATCACCCAGAGGAGCTAATGAGGCACACAGGGACCCAGTACTTGGATGAAGTAATAGGACAAGGCCCGAGCCTTTGTACTGTCATCACTCCCCAGGTGATTCTGATACCACTAAAGTTGGAAAATCCAGTGTAGATTAGGAGGTTCTTCTCAAAATGACAGAAATCTCATGTGACATCCTGGGTGGGTCATCCATTAAAGAAAAAATGYACCCAAAGATTCCTGCCTCTGAAATCTAAGGACTTGCACACCAGCCTTCCCCCAATGGTACTGTCCCCACCACTCCTGGTACCCAATGCCCTCCTGCATGAAGGACACAGCTGTTCAGGCTGATCAGTGGTGCCCCTGAAATTCACAGTGCACAGAACTACCTCTTCCTTGACTTAACAGAACAAGGATTTTCCTTAGACCCTAGAAACCCCCTTTGGAAGTAGAAAGCAACAATGAGTAGACAAGGAAAGCTTTTCTGTTTTGCATCTATTTTTGGCTCACATCTAAGAGACATACCAGGTGTGAAGGCCTGGGTTCAATCTCCAGCATCTCAAAAATAAATAAATAAATWAAATAAAATAAAAAGATACACCATAACTCCAGGTCCCTGAGAAAGGCTACTCTCTTTGAAGGAAAAGGTGGAAAATCTCCTTGATTCTGGGAAAATATTCCRTTGATAAAATTTCTTCTTCTATTCCTCCCCACTTCTCTTTAAATACAAGGGTTCTTCATATACAACTCGATCCTGAAATTCCTATTCCCCTCCCTACACACTGTTCTTTTATGAAAAATTGCCCATTAAAAAAAAATTGGTTAATAGAGATTTTAAAGGATACCTGGGCTCTAAGCAGGTCCTACCCCATGCAGGCCCTGRTAATGACCCTCATCCTCTGGGCGGAGTCTTCCTTTAGTGAGTGGGAAGAAGATAAATCATCTGTTAGAGGGTGGTGACAGGCCTGGGTCAGAAACAGAGAGGGGGCTGGGGAACGTGGGGGACCCTACTCCTGGTGGCTGGGAATGACAGCATTTGCCATGTCTAGCCTGTGTTTCTTTCTGCTACACTGGTGTTTTTTTCTCCCCAGCTGAAGACTTGAATAAATATTTTGATTTTCTGTTATTGCCGACGATTACTGCATCTTCTTATTTAACTTATGTCTTCTTTCCAAGCGAGAATATCCAGGTTTCGGTTGGATCTATTTTAAGGTGAATTAATTAACCAGCATAATAATACATTCATATGTTTCTTTTTTCATTATATTTTACTCTAAAATAGTTACCGAACACGTGCAATAGAATCCCTAGCAAACCACGCTGTCTTTTGGATTTGTTTGTTTCTTTCTTTCTTGTCTGACAGGGGAACCTGCCCCCAGACTACAGGATCAGCCTGATTGACATCGGCCTGGTGATCGAGTACCTGATGGGCGGAGCTTACCGCTGCAACTACACGCGCAAGCGCTTCAGGACCCTCTACCACAACCTCTTCGGCCCCAAGAGGGTGAGTTCCAGCCGTACCTAGGTGGCGCGGTAGTAGGTTGGGAGAGATTCAGGGTGCGGCTTCTTGATCTCCATAGGGGAGGCCTGTTGAGAAGGTGGTAACTGCTCCTCCTCTTCTTCCCTCTTCCATCCAAACTGTTTAAAAAAAAATTAATTTGGCAACAAATGCTATCAGTTGTTTTCCTTGAAGTGACAACCTCACTTGGGTCATTCCAAAAATGCCTGCCCAATGTCCAGTCTGTCTGCCCCAGTCTTGTCTGCCAGTCTTCCCTTCAAGGAAAAGCGATATTCTATGTAAACAAAGGGGCTGTGACTTAATCCAGAGAATGCCAAAGTGCTTTACCTCAGAACAGCCATCTAGATCATAGGTAGCACAGATGTTTCTGGGTCAGGCTTCCCGATTTATCCCAGGGGATGGTAATAGCACACACAGTCAGAGATTAAACAAACATGGTCATCATTGAGGGCTTCAAGAGCATGTTTAAGGGAAATTAGGGTTTTGTTTACTTGCTTTTGTTTTCTCCAAGTGCCTATCAGMGTAATCCAATGACCATAGTGAAGTTTGGTATCACTACCTTAATTTTTATTGATTGATTGATTGATTGGACTGAGGATTGGACCTGGGTTGCTCTACCTCTGAGCTACATCTTCAGGGGGGGTTATGTATTGAGACAGTCTCACTAAGTTAATAAGGCTGGCCTCAAACTTGCAATCCTCCTGCTTTAGCCTCTGGAGTCACTGGGATTACAGGCCTTTGCTCTTACCAGCTTCACAGTTTTTACTCTTGCTAAGGCACCAAGCCGTTTTACTCCCGAGACAGTTTTGTGCCATCTAAGCTAGTGTAGACACAATATCCAAACTCAGTATTATTATGAACATAGACTGGACTTCTTGCACCCTCTGAAAGGGTCTCGGGGCCCCTCGTGACCCATGATTGACATTTTGAAAGCTGCTGCCCTAGCTGGTAGTGGACATCATTTTTCTCTTTCTTTTGTTTTCCTCTATTTTTAATTTTTTTTTTTCATTTTATTTTTGTATTTTTTAAAAATTGTATTGATTCTTACTTTTAACAAAGCTTTATTCTGACTACAAAAGTATTGTGGGACTAGTGGGGAACTTTGAAGATACCAAAAAGCATAAACAAGAAAAAATAATAGCACAGATTATAAATTGGTGGTCATCTCAGAAGCTGAAAGAGAGAGAGAGAGAGACAGAGAGAGACAGAGAGAGAGAGACAGACAGACAGACAGACACAAGGTTCCAGCTATTCCCACTGAATAGTCACGTAAAATTTGAAGGACCTGTGAGGGCTGGGACCTTCCAATCTACTCAGATAACTTCCAAGATGGCACCCAACCATTCTGTACTTCTTAGAACCACAGAATTTGTGATTCTGACCCCGAAGGTATTTTGGTATCTCCCTTTGTTAAATATAAATCAGAGATGTGCCAAGTGGCCTTCTCTGCTGTCTGCAGTCTGTGCCTATTGTGTACATTTCCAGATGCTGACACTATCAGTGCCTTGAGGGCCTCCTGCCACCCTCCATACATGCCCTCTCACCCTCTCTACTGTGCAGCAGCACAGGGAGATGGCCAGCAGGAAGCACCAAAACATGTATTTATGAATGATATCTGATACATCTCCAACTAATAGAGGTATTTCAGAGGTTGGAGATGTGTGTGGGATTTGATCTGTTTGGTTGTTTCATTGCTCATCTGAGTTCAAGCTACTGTAACAAAATACCGCAAACTAGGTGTCTTATGAACGTAAATCTACCACTCACAGTTCTGGAAGCCAGACGTTCAAGATCAAGGCACCAACAAATTCAGTGTCTAGTGAGGGCTTGCTTTCTGGTTCACAGATGGCACCTTCTTGTGTGTCCTCACATGATGGAAGGGCGAATGAGTTCCCCTGGGCCTCTTTTATAAGGACACCAACCTTATTCAGGAGGGCCCTTCTCTCTTGACCTTCCCAAAATCCCTACTCCAATGCCATCACCCTGGGGTTAGAATTTCAGCGTATAAATTTGGGGAAAAAAAAAAAAACACTCAGTCTCTAACACTCATACAAGTACTGGGAATCATGACATTCTCCCCAAGAAGAATGATTATAGGAAAGTGAAAGAGATCTTGGTTCACAAAAGATACTATAAACCTTTAGGCTTTACCTGTGGACGATCACATCTCTTCAGTTTCCTAATTTTCTGTGAGTCACCAAAATCATTAAATCTCTAATTCTTTTATAAATTCTATGAATTTAGTTCCCTTTGTGTTGTTTTATTCAGAGAAATAAAATAAATGCTACATGGTGCACTAGAGTTATTGATTACTTGTTTATGATATAGTAGGATTATTTTCTTACTTCTGTGAAAGAAAGACCTAACTGTGCTGACATTTCTTTTTAACAGCCCAAAGCCTTGAAACTTCTGGGAATGGAGGTAAATATTTGTTCAAATTATTAGTGTCAATTATTATCTTTATTACACATTTTTTTAAAAAATACAGTGCTAGCGCTTAACATATCTTTCTAGAATAAGGAAATGAAGTTTCTAAGTGTCATGGGGGCAGTTCCCAGTGGCTTTGAAAATACCACCATGAGGTTATGTTAGCATTGCAAACAAAAATAAAGAAATAAGTCCTATTTGAAATACTAACTTGAAAACCAAGGAAGCATACAAATTCCCATAAGCAAAATCCGTTCATGGGTGTTTGCAAATGACAACAGATCCAACAGCCTGAACTACTTCACAGATGCATCCGTAGATAGGCAGAAATGAGAGACATGCTATGTTTCCCATCTTTTGTTAAAATGGTTATTTTCATTTCTGCAAACACAAGTATAGGATATCCTTGTCCTTTCAACAAAAAGGGGAGTGCTGTCTATCATGAGGTTCAAAACTTACTAATAGAAGAAAAAGTGGACAGAAGTAAATAGAATAAGAAAAAATACCTATTAAAATTAATTCTTTAAAGTATAAAATTGACATGTTCCCATGGGACTATGCTTATCATAAAATAAGCAGAACTTATTTTAAAATTAACCATAAATGAGATTGTGAGTTCTTTTAGGATAAAACCTGGCCTGCTGCCTTTCAGTATTGATCTCAGAGCTGAGCTAGTAGAAGATATACAATAACTATTAAATGAACTAATAAATGAACTGATTCATTTTTAACTCAGCCTCTCTGTTTTTATCTAAAATTACAGGATGATATTCCCCTGAGGCGAGGAAGAAAGACAACCAAGAAACGTGAGGAAGAGGTGGACATCGACTTGGATGACCCTGAGATCAACCACTTCCCTTTCCCTTTCCATGAGCTGATGGTGTGGGCTGTCCTCATGAAAAGGCAGAAGATGGCCCTGTTCTTCTGGCAGCATGGAGAGGAGGCCATGGCCAAGGCCCTGGTGGCCTGTAAACTCTGCAAAGCCATGGCTCACGAGGCCTCCGAAAATGACATGGTGGACGACATTTCCCAGGAGCTGAACCACAACTCCAGGTTGGCCAACCCAGCAAACAGGGAGGTCGGGGGAAACGTGGGAAGGTTGTCTCCAAAGACTCCAAGGTCTGAGCAACACATAACATTAAAGGGAGGCAGTATCACCCCAGTGGTGCACACAGAGGGTACACACAGAGGGTACACAGTGATACACATACCAATGCACAGATTTCATGTCATCCTCTCAGCTTTCCCAAGAGGTAGGTCCTATTGTTATGCACTTTGTTGAGCTGAAGACAGTGAGATTCAGAATTTAGGGAACTTATCCAAGATCACTTGGATAAGTTGTGGTTGGCAAGGCTGGGATTTGAACTTGAGGGTCGGCCACATTGAAGAAGACACATTGCATTCTAATTGTTTGGACAGCCTCCCCCATAAATATGCCTTGGATTTGGGGCTCGAGTGTGGGGATCATGTCTTGTTGGACTTCCATCCTCAGCTCTAGACATGGTGCTGGATGCTTAAGGGATGTTGTCTGGATGAATTTATGAACAGACGAGACCTCACATGAAGCCATTTTGTGGCTGACCAGTGGATCTGTTTTAGTTAGCTTTTTCATTGCTGTGACCAAAAGACCTGGCAAGAACAAAGTAGAGGAAGAGAAGTTGATTTTGGCTCAGGGTTTCAGAGGGTCAGTCCATGGTCAGCCAACTCCATCACTGCGGGCCTGAGGACCAGCAGAACATCATGGTAGAAGGAGTGTTAGAGGAAAGCAACTCAGGATATGGCAATCAGGAACCAGAGAGAGATCTTTACTCACCAAGGAACAAAATATAAACCTCAAACGGCATGTCTCGTGACTACTTCCTCCAGCCACCCATTACTTGTTTATAGTTACCACCAGGTTAATCCGTATCAGCGGATTAATTCACCAATCAGGTTTCAGCTCTCATAAGCTAATCATTTCACCTCTGAAAATTCTTGCACTGTCTCACCCATAAGCTTTTGGCGGACACCTCACATCTAAACCATAACAGGTCCATCCCCACTTTTGTCATGTAAGTCTCCAAGCTGGCCTGAGGCTCCTTTGTACATTCTCTCTTTCAGGGACTTTGGCCAGCTGGCTGTGGAGCTCTTGGACCAATCCTACAAGCAGGATGAGCAACTGGCCATGAAACTGTTGACGTACGAATTGAAGAACTGGAGCAACGCCACATGCCTGCAGCTGGCTGTGGCTGCCAAGCACCGTGACTTCATTGCGCACACGTGCAGCCAGATGCTGCTCACTGACATGTGGATGGGTCGGCTCCGCATGCGCAAGAACTCAGGCCTCAAGGTCAGCGCGCCCAAGGAGGCCCTGTGGGCTACCAGGGCCCGAGGGTTGGTTGTGGTTCTCCAAGCCAAATCTGTGGTGGGATTAGGCATTCCTTTATCTCAAGAGACTGCTACTAAAACCCAGCTGTTCACCAGAATCTCCTGGAGAGTGTTTTGAATTTCATATAAAGGCAAGGGTCTCCCCTAGTCCTTCTGAACAGCATCTCTTGAGATAGCGCCTAGACATTGATGTTTTTCAGAAGATCCAAAGGCAGTGGTCACACAGGTTCCACAGGGGACACATTTGCTCTGACACAAGCCGGGCTATATCAGGAGTCCTCATCTAGGTAATCCTTCTCCACGRTTGAAGCCTAACCTCTCCCTTTCCCCCTAAGTCCTTTACATCATGTAGTAGAGACATTGAATCTTACCAAATGTGCTTGAGGCCTTTTGTGGGTGTGTGTGGATGTGGTAGTATTGGGGATTGAATTCGGGGGAATTTTACCACTGAACTACATCCCCATCTTTTTTTWAATTTTGAAACAAGGTCTCACTAGGTTGCCTATGCTGATCTCAAACTTGAGATCCTCCTTCCTCAGCCTCCTAACTGGATGGAATTACAGGTGTGCACCACCATCTCCTAAGAGAAATTTTTTAAACTGAAATAAATATGTGGCAGATTTATATATCAAGGCATTGCTACATGATTCTGAGCTTTTTTTTTTCTGTTTTTGGTGTTGGGGATTGAAGTCAGAGCCTTACACACATACTATGCGGCTCTGCTACATTCTCAACTCCCTAATTTATTATTATATGAAGAAAAACAATTTACAGACCAGTCTGTATAACCTGAGTCCCTTTTACAAAATGTATGTGYGCAGAGTTATTGCAATATAAATTCATTTTTAAAAAAAAACAAGAACAGAGTAAACTATATGCAGTGGTTACTTCTGAAGTTGAATGGACCTTATTAGGAATTTTTTTGTTGTTTTAATGAGAAGTAGGTTGGTAAGTAGGACTTTTTTAATTTTCAATGTTTTTCAAAGAAAACATTAAACTGAAAAAGAAAAAAGACAAAACGGGAGGTGGAAGATCAAAAGAAAATACAGTTTTGTTGTTTGCTTTTGGTTTTTGTTTTAATTCATTATAATGAGTTTCTTTTTATTTTCAAAGTATATAACAYGATGTTTTGATATACATAGTGAAATAGTTCTTATAGTTAAGCAAATTAACAAATCCATCATCTTGTATAGTTAGCCTTTTTTTTTATTGTGATCAGAACTCCTAAATCTTCTTTCTTAGCAAATTTTCGGTGTACAATGTGATATTAAAACTGTGGTCCTCATTAGATCCTGGGATTTACTCATCCTGCACACCTGTGACTTTGTGTCCTTTGCCCACCATTTACTAAGCCAGCAGTCCCTGTCCCATTCCTCCCTTCCCATGGGCTCTTGACCCAGAGTCACAGAAGTTTCCATGAACATTTCCCTAGCTGCATTATTAGTGACTGCTGAGCCTGACCTCAGGGGGCAGCRGAGTCAGTTCTTAGCTCCAAGGACAATGTGTCATGTCCTCTGAAGGCCAAGAACAGCAGCATGCCACCTGAGACCAGACCTGCCAGGCACCCAGAATCCAGGGTCATCACCATTCCTTCCTTCTCTCTGACTGCTCTCCAGTCCCCGTGGCCATTCAGTCCTGGTCTGTCCCTGTCTTGTGCCTTGAGCTTCATTTTTCCCGACCCTTTGTTTCTTCAAAAATTAGACTTAGATACTATGCAGAATATTTCTCCAATGGGACAAAGTGACCTTYTTCACATCAATGTGCTTCAGATATTCAGGTGTTCAGGTCCACACACAGGGCATACAACACCTGTGCAAAGTGCACATGCACACGTACCCAAACACAGACACACCCCAGGCCCTCTGATTCTAAGCAACCACCTAATCTTAATCCTTTAAATGTGATTATTATTATTATCATTATTATTACTTTAGGTAATTCTGGGAATTCTACTTCCTCCTTCAATTCTCAGCTTGGAGTTCAAGAACAAAGATGACATGCCCTATATGACTCAGGCACAAGAAATYCATCTCCAAGAGAAGGAGCCAGAAGAACCAGAGAAACCCACAAAGGAAAAAGATGAAGAGGACATGGAACTGACTGTAAGGGAAAAAAATGAAATATATATATATATAWWA